TCCGCGTCAAGTGTCGATGTCTGGTATTTTGTCAAGTAGGCCCGGATAGAGTCTCTGAGGTGTGTCGTCGCCCCATTGGTCTTCGGTTGGGGGAGCGTGTAAAGATCGGTGTAGTATGTGCGGAACGTTCTCATGATGGCTGTCAGGAGGCGGTGTAGGGTGCCCTGTTTGTCTCTAATTTTATCAATATATGTGTGTTGCCTCTGCTTTTTCAGCATCGCAGCTAGGAGTTTGCCGCTTTTGTTCCCGTGTACTGTGAAGAAGGCTTTGTGCCTAGTTGCGTCTCTGTGATGTTTAGCCTGCAGTAGTGTGGCTAGTTCCCGTCTCAGTTGTAGGAGTCAGGTTTGGTGTGTGTGGTTCGGGGTTTGTTTATTTTGATTGTCTGTCTCATGTATGTTGGTCAGCAGAGCCTGTAGTCGGGCTTCAGTCTGTTTCTTCAGTATTGCCCCCTGTTGTATGTAGTGGCCTCTTATCACGCTTTTGTGTGCCTCCCATCGAATCGTCGGGGATGTTTGCTCTGCTGTGTTAGTTGTCAGGTAGTCCTTGATTTTCTCACCTATTAGGGTTGTGACCTCTAGTTTGGTAAGTAGGTATTCGTTCAATCTCCATTTCGAGGTCGTGGGGCGGTAAAGTGGTGATTTAAGTTTAAGTGAGACTGGGGCGTGGTCTGACCATGTGGCCACTCCAATTGTTACTTCGGACACTAGGGAGAGGTCATAGTGTGTGGTGTAGATGTGGTCTATTCGGGAATAAGAGTTGTGCGGGTGGGAGTAGAAGGTGTAGTTTCTTACGTCTGGGTGGTGGGCCCTCCAGCAGTCCACGAATCGTCGACTCCGGAGTAGGGATTTAACTGTTTGGAGTTGTTGAGTGGGGACGTGGGAGGTGCCCGATGAGTTGTCCCATGATGGGTCAAGAGTTATGTTGAAGTCGCCCCCCAGTATAAGAGTCCCTTCTGCGGATTCTTGAAGTTTGCGAAGTGTCTGTTTGAGGAAGCGGTAGTGTTGTGTGTTTGGGGCATAGATGTTTGCGAATGTGTACTGGTGTCCCGCGATCTTCCCTTTAAGGAATAAGTATCTCCCTTCGTCATCCGTTTTGCATCCCCCCTCCTGGAACGGCACCCTCTTGTGGAGAAGTATTGCTGTCCCCCTGGCCTTACCCCCTTGGAAGTCGCTGTAGTATCCTTGTGTGTAGTGCTGATTAGTCAGTTTGGGTCTGTTCCCTTTTTTAAAGTGGGTTTCCTGTATCATTACTATAGAGGCCCTCTGTTTGTGGAAGTCTCTCAGTGCTCCCGATCTCTTCTCTGGTTTATTTAGGCCTTTTGCATTGATTGTAAGGATGTGTAGGTGGTCTGGGGTCAGTGCCATCCCGTCACGTCAGGTCGTTGTCGACGGGTGTTGTGAAAATGTCTTTGTCCTGCGTTCCGTTGGTGTGTGTAGTCTCAGGAGGTCTCACAGTCAGCTGTCGGTGTCGGGTTGTGGGGTCAGGTGTTGGGGTTTAGGTAAGGATCAAGGGGTTGAGGTATTGGAGTAGTCTGAGAGGTTCTCAGAGATCTCTGTGGTTTGCGTCACAGTGCGTGACGACTAGGTAGTAGCGTCGGGGAGCGTCAGAGCCCGGCACCACCTGTGGTGTCCGTGCAACGCCTCGCCTGCTGGGCAGTGGTTGGGTGTCCAGGCGCCTGGCGCGGTGTCCTAGTGGTGTATCTCGTCTCGTGGCTTCCCTATGTGGCTCCTCAGTGATTACTCCGTAGGAGTATGCGTGTGATTCCCCGCCTCGGGGTGTGGTGGTTCTGGGGCTTGCGTGTATGAGTGTTTATGCACGTGGTCTGTTTGTTTGTGGTTGGGTTGCAAGACATAAACATTAACAGTGTTATTAACATTTTGGTTTCAAGTCACAACAGGTGAAAACTTAACAATATTCTAACATTTCTCATTTCAATTTTGTGTACCATTTACCTCTGTCCCCCTGCGTCCCAGGTTCCCGTCCGCCCGCCTATCTAGTGTGTTCTTGTGTCTCTTGTGTCTTAGCGCCCTGTTACCTATATTTATCGGGAGGTGTGGGTTTCCCTGTCGGGGGTGAGAGACAGAGGTTGTTCCCGTAGGCGTGGGTCTAACTGGTGTGTTCTTGTCCCCCTGTCACTGTGGCCTTATGGGGTGCGCCCGTCGTATGGTTCCCTGGTGTGTTAAGCTTCCTCTCCTTGGTCTAGAGGTGTGTGACTATTCGGCAGGTGGTTTTAGTTTGGTCAGCTCGGTTTTGTCGCTTCCCATTTATCTCGGGTGCGGGGCCAGAGCCCCCACCCCGGGCGCGCCCCGACGGCGGAGCCCCCCGCCTGCTCCCCGTGGTTCATTACAGCACGGCTAGGCCCCGGCGGCCGGGCGCGGCCGGGGGGGCGGGCACCCCCCCCGATCCCTCTTACTGTTGTGTTGGTACTAAGAGATTGGGTCCCTGATACTTCCCCCCCATCCCTAGTGTGAGTGCGTTTAGTCCATGGGTGGCCCGGCAGGCCTGCGGGTACTGCATGCTCGAGCGTCTGCGCCGATCTTGCCGCAGGGTTCAGTGTATCTCTTTATGTCTCTTGGCCTGTATGTCCGTGTAGGGTCTTGGTGAGTGCGTTGCCCCTTGGGCTATATACTTGCGGTTTTGAGAGTTTCGGCGGTGCCAGTTCCATGGATTCTGGTCAGGGGCGGACAGTGTCTGTCCAGTTCATTGCTGGGCCGTGTGGTTTCCCGGCAGGGTGGACAGGTAGTGTGCGTCCTTCTACATGTTGGTGCCCGTAGGGCGCGTCGTCTGTTGTCTCGTTCTTCTGGGTCTGGGGGTTTGTTGCGGCTGGCGTTGGACCTCCGGTGAGAAGACGTAGAAGGCCATTGGATCTGGCCAGGTCATATGTATCGTTGGGAGTTGTAGTTCTCTCGTCAGGTCTAACAGGTCTCCCTCGCTCTTCACTGTGAAGGGGCCATTGCTTGTGGTGACTTGTAGTCCGGTGGGGAAATTCCATCTGTATCTGATCTTGTTAGTCTGCAATGTCCGCGTGAGTGGGCGCAGGGCTCGTCGGTACGCCAGCGTTGCAGGGGAAAGGTCTGGATACAGTTGGATCTCAGCGTCATTGTGGATGATTTGGCTCTGAACCCTGGCGCTCTTCAGGATATCCTCCTTCACTTGGAAATGTGTCAGACAGCATATTACATCTCTAGGAGGGGGGTCAGGTGGGCCCCTGGGTCTGAGTGCTCTGTGCGCCCTTACAAATTCGATGGGCGCCGTGTTCGGCCTTTGCAGGAGGGCATTAAAAATTTCCGTGAGCGTGTCCTTTATTGGGGTAGTCTGGTCGCATTCTTCTGGTAGCCCCCGAACTCTGATGTTTTGACGTCTCCCTCGGTTGTCTAGGTCCTCTAAATGGAGAGCCATTTGGCGCAATTGTGTTTCTTGCCGCTTTATGGTGCTCGTGGTGGCGTTTTGCGCCGACATCACGTGGTCGCAATCTGCCTCCACCTGGGCCAGTTTGTGATGAATCCCCTGCATGTCTTCCCTCAGGGCCTGGAGCTCCCCAGTGATAGATTTATGGAGGGCGGCATTGGCCTCCTTCAGGTCATTTCTTGTGGGTAGGTTGTTTAACAGAGTTACCCAGTCCAGCTGGGGTAGGGGGTTGTCAGGAGGATTTGGTACCTGATCATGGTGTCCGTCTCTGGGTGAGGTCGGGCGGCCTGGGCCCAGGCTTGCTGTGTCACCTGAGGCCTGGGGAGCTTGGTCGGCCTGTGTTGTGAGGTACTGACGCATGCCGGCTGGCTGTGACCCTCTCGGCGTGCTGGCGACCGGTGCAGCCTGTTGGGGCTTGTTTGTTTTGCCCATTTTTGCGGGTATGAAGCTGGTTAGGCGGGATTGTGAGCGGAGCCGGTCGGGAGCTCGTGTATCACGCCGCCATTTCGTCCGGCGCCCAAGCCACGCCCCCCAGACTGCACTTTTTTAAGTGTAAAATAATAATATAATGAAAACACACTAACTGAAAGCAAGGGTTCATGAAAAGACGAGGTACGTTTTGGAAAAAGCATGTAAAAGGCTTAATATAGTGAGAAACAATTTCAACTGTATTAACATGCTAGATAATATAGCAAAGAATGAAATCACTGGAACTAAACATCTTTTTGCTGCAGCAGCACAGTAAGAAAAATTAACAATAAAGGATCAGCAGAAATAACTATCTGTGGGACATATGCATAACTGAAGTGATAGGCCCATGGCCGGCAAGTGTCACCATCATCCGATGTCCAATGCTGGGCGGCAATTGGAACCAGCTGGAGGGTAGAAGAAAGTAGGAAGATCCAAATGCTCTGTTGGCACGTGGCAGATCAGGGCAAGTATCACTAGTCCATGGATCAGGTGGGTTTTTTGTTGGATTTTTTGTTGTTTTTTTTTTTTTTCCATTTACCACCTCTTGTATAGTGGTGTGGAAGGGGTTGGTGCTTTATCAATATAATAACTTTGCAATAAGAACAGTAAAGTTTAGTGATACAATTGATTGATGGCTGGGGAATGATGGATGAGGGAAGAGGTGTTTGTTGCAGGAATACAGAGGGAGACATCAGAGCGATAGATTAAAGCATCAGAATGCTAGTAGTGATATACAGTGTCATAAAAAGAGAAGGAAGGATTGGTGGTGGAATAGGGTAGGTTGTAGTGAGGTATAGGCAGGAGACGTAGACTCTCCATAATCAATGTCAGGAGGAGAGGTGGACAGATTATAGACTGGGCAGGGCTAGCCTAAGACATTGAACTGCATGGATCCAAGAACCATCATGCCACCCCACTGTACACGCACACCGTAAAACCCAACCTCTAGAGACACACTTTATACATTCATTTGAACATGATGGAAACATCCCCAAGCCATATATCAAATTCCCTACAGTTCATAGCTACCTTCGCTTTGCTACCCCAGTTTATTTCCCACCTGACATATTTCTCCGTCCCCTCTGTATGCCCACCTTCCCATATACCCCTCTTGTGCCTATATTTCCTCAATATTTCACCTCTTGCATCTATCCCCTAATAGGCCCCTTTGTTCCTTTACCAAAGTCCCCTATCTATGCTCCCATGTCCCCCCTTGAGTTAATGTTCTACCCTTCTGCCTAAGCCTCACCCATGTGTCTGTGTACCCATTTGTGTCTCCCCTCAACACTACCCTGATCTTTGTAGCACAGCATAGCAGTGTGGAATGAAGAGTTCTGACAGCAACTTGCACTCCTGACACCAAATTTATTTATTGATTAAAAAAGCCTTTAGTGTGCTATAAATTTGGCAGCAGCAGTAACTACTATAATTTGAGAACCAGAGCCTGGACTTGTTTGTTAATGTGTTTTTGTAGGTCTAAAATTCTACAGAAAAATCTACCTCAAGCATATGAGCACTAGGTCTAGCCAGGCTACATTACATGAAGCAAATACAAGTATGAAATGGGATCTGTTACAATGTATAATATTTATTTGTAATATTATAAACTAATGCAAAGTAAATGAAAAAAAAAACTAAGAAAAAAAAATAATCCAAAGAACTAATAGTAAGCATGGAGTTTACGTAGGTATATGTGGTTTATTCACAAATTGCCTTTTTTATATAGCTAACCAGATGGCATCCTGTTAAAGTGACACTAAGCATCAACATAACTTTAGCTTAAAGGGATCCTATAGTGCCAGGAAAACAAAATAATTTTCCTGGCATTATAGGGTTAATAGGTCCCCTCCCTCCCACAGGGCTGAAGGTATTAAAACCCCTCTAGCCATTTACCTGAATCCAGCACCGATGGAGAAAAAGTAAAGCTGGGTCATGCTTCGCCCACGGGGGGAGAACTAATGCGCATGTGCGGCAATGGCTGCGTGCGCATTAGACCTGAATAATGCTTTCCTATGGGGAAAATCTGACGCTGGAGGTCTGTGAGGATGTCCATTGTCAGATAACGGACCAAAAGTACGCTTGAATTCCGGAAACCCTCTAGTGGCTGTCTGTTAGTTCTCTGGAACTGCAATGTTTTATATTGCAGCACTAAGTGCAAAAGGGTCAAAGCACCCAGACTACTTCAATTAGCTGAAGTGGTTTGGGTGCCTACAGTGTCCCTTTAATGAAGCAGCTTTAGTCTATAGTATAGATATTTCTGCAGTTTAACTTTTCACATTTCTGCCATTTAGGAGTTAAATCACATTGTTTATGCAGCTCTAGTGTTTCACTGACTCATATAGCCTCCATGGGGAAAAAAAAGTTGAAATTTCAATTGGATCGTACAGCACAGTGTTTTTACTTTATAGGTTCTTATCTCCTGTTTTGTTAATTGAACTTTCATAAAACACAGGAAGCTATTGTATGGTCTAGTAGGCAATTAACAGAACCTCTAAATAAACACACTATGCAAGGGGGCGGGGCTTGACCACAGAGCTGTGAAGACGCTTATCTCAGCAGCTCCTGCTAAACTTAGCAACCTAAAGCTGAATTTCACTGCCACACCGGCACACAATCGTGATTATAAGGCCAGCACTCAAAAGTGGGCATCGGAGTGAGGAGAACGATACCACTCAAGCGAAGAACTGAGCTAAACTCACTGTGAGGCCTACAAGCATGGCAGGCACAGGGGAGACGGCCGCTCCCCAGCTGCAACACCATGCCGGATATCTGACGGCGGGCTCTCGCTTCCCCCCTTCTGGACCGGCGGGGGTCATCCCGGTCCACCAGCTTACGGTGAGCACTCACCTCTGGGACACTTATAAGAGCAACTCCGACCAATCGACCCCACGAGGCCAAGCCAAGATGGCTGCCGGCAGTGCCGCGAATCCACCGCCACAGACAGCCGATGAATGGACAGCGGCCTTCCAGGCTAAATTTGAGGAGGTATGCCGGAAATTTTGGGAGAGATTGGGAAAGAGGAACCCACCACCCGCTCTGAAACCAGCTACACTAGCAAAGCGACAACACACTCTCTCACACGCTGCCGAGGCACCTGATTTTGGCAACCACACCACGGGAGCGATTAACCAGCAACATGACAAAGCGGAGGGAGAGACACAGGGACATTAACCGCCCAAAGCAGACAAACAGAGCCAAAGCAATGGCCTTAACGCCAACTAAGAGGACAGCACCCCGAGGCACTGCCTCCCTGCACATGCCGCGCAAACGGAGGATCATCCACCGTAAACGGATACCTCCACGATCCTCTAAATACCCAAGGCGAGGGAAGGACCGAATGACACAGCATAGCGCTACTACAGCTAAGCCAGTGAAAAAGGGGAAGAGCTACCAAGCCAGGGTGCACAGATCAGCCACAACCCTCTGTCTATCTATTCCATGCGCCGAACAAATGCAACAGCCCAAAGGATTTCTCGGTGAGATGCCGACACTTACCTCTCAGGACACTGCCCCAGTCCCTGCCTCGATGGAATATTGCACACAGCACCAACAGATTGCCATTGCAGGCATTGGATGACCCCAGACAGCAAAGCAGACTTTCCCACACTGTAATACTACAGTATCTGGGACGGCTCCTGTATCACTACTTGTTCACAACATGCATACTCAAATATGTGTTCCAGACAGTTAAACAACCACTCTGAGCAAGTACTGAATTGATCCTTCCTATTATTATTATCCCTTTACACTCTCACCAGTTATGCTCTCCTTAACACAGGTTAATATAATCCTATAGCACACAGTGCTCATGATCAATCTATGTACTTTTCTCGCTAAGAATGTGTTCCTATAATCACTTGTTTTTATATTGGATATCTTATTAGAATAGCATGTCTACATCTATAGCACTGTAAACAGCATTACCTGTATTGACCATAGAACGGTCAGAATGTATAACTGGATACAAGAACTAACATGTCTTCAGCATGAAGGCTAAGCTAGCGTATAGCACTACACATTTCAATCCTACAACACTCAGTTTATATGCCTGTATCTGTTAACGTTGTAAGATCATCCAATAAACTTAGCCCCTAATTACCAACAAAAATACGCTAATGTCAATGCTATTGTTTAGCCTGTTTAATATGCACGTGTACGCCGAGGTGGCGATCCTGACACCATAACACTGAATGACCATAACTTAGAGCGCAGACCAAATGTTGTTTTATGGTACTTTGTTCTATAGAAGCGTGTACCTCACCTGTCCTGATATACAGAACAGGAGAAAGTGCCTGAAAAGCGATATCAACGCAGATACAAAAATGCTCAGCATTAGTTAATGCCAACTTAATGTGATACCAAGCTAGGATAACTGCTCACCTAAGCAATGTTAGCACTGTAAGCCTGAATAGCAATGCTTTAATATTTAGACTTAATCTTATGTTATCTCATTTTATGTTGCTCTCTCTATTATTGATGCCTTCTCAGATTAACACCTGTTTATTAATAATATAAAACTGTGCAGACTATTTGCCATATTTGACAATGTAAGATTCTATTAAGCTTGTGACTGCTGATGTGGCAACACGGGCTTGTTTGATATCACTTGCACAATAAAAATAAAGAATTAATAACACACTATGCAATACAGAAAGCTAAAGTCTTTCGATTTTTTTCAGGAAGGGAAACTCAGCACCGGGAAGGGTGGCTAGGGCGGCAAAATAAAAAATGTACTTACTTAATGGCAGAGAATTGAGCAGTGAGACTGCAAATCAAAACAAGCTATACAAAGTTGTTGCTTTTTTTTTGCACAGTTTATAGATGTGCTTTCCAGAATTACATATTTAACTGTTTATGCCAGAGTTCTGAATTTAGTGTTTTCACGAGTGTATAACCTTTGTTACAGAATTCACTACATATTTCCAGAATTCCCAATATATAAATAAGTTATAAAGTAAATGTATAGCTCTGTTTGCCAGAATCCCAAATATATCCTGACTTTACACCTCCCAATATAGTAGTGTGCGCTAAATTCCCAAATATAGCAACTTCATAGTGAGCTTATAGCTGTGTTTGCCAGAATTCCCAATATACAGTGATTTTGCAGTGAGTTTATCACCAAAACATTAAGACAAGACAAATGAAGAGATTCTGCTCTTTATTTACAACTTGCTTGTTTCACATCTCCTGGCAACATCAATAACTTAACAGCACAAGGGAACCCGAGATAGTTCTAGACAATGGCTGCACACTACAGCTGGCTAAATGACAATTAAGGACAGCATGGGAAAGTGATAGTGATATAAATGTGATTTTCTAAAAGTGGAAATTATAGATACTAAAGGATTAATACTTGAATGGCAGCCTCGTGCATACAAGGCAGAAGGAAAGGAATGTGTGTAACATGTTTACCTGGAGAGTTTTGTATCTCACAGAAATCTCAAGATTCAATATTTTTCAAATTCCTTGGGACTGAGATGTGGGGCTTGCCCCTAAAATTAGATGCTTTTTACAGCAAGGAAAAGTTAAAGTAAATAACAGTATGGGGATGGGGAGTAATATGTTAATTTAATGGGAATTCTCCATTTCCCTCGACATAATAAACACATTTACTATAAATCAACAAATAAAGTTGGTAGTGTTTGTGAATAAACCACTTCGTAATGTTAGGCAGAAGAAAAAAGAAAATTTATAAAAAATAAAAGGGCAAACCGTTTGTTTAATCAAGGTTGAATTATGGGAATGAAACCTTAGAAGGACAAAACATTTTTTGAGTACATAAAAGGCCTGGCTGGTGTTGTGCAGCAAAATCACTTCATATTGACAATGGCTATCTCTGCTCCATCTACACTGTTTGAATAATAAATACAGTCCCTTAGCTTTAACACTTCTCAATCAGTCTGTTATCCATTAGGCTCCATGACACTATAGAGCACAGTCTCTCTTGCTCCCTCATGTAGGACAGTAAGTATGCACAGGACACTTATTGCTGGAGGGTGTACAGAGCACAGCCAGATGCGCAAGGTGTCCTTTCTATAGGAAACCTTCTTTGCGAAACTGCTCCTGCAGGATATTCCGATACTCATCAAAACCACCATCAATTCGCGTCACTCCTCCATTTTCACAGACCCAGAGTTCTTGGCAAACAAGACGGATAAAACGCTCATCGTGAGAAACCAAAATCACACCACCCTGGAAAAGAAGCAATGGAGATAAGGATCAGGAATTTGACAAAATGGTAACAATTCTGGTTGTACTGAACAACTGAAGGTGGGGGGGCATGGTACATAAGAAAATTAGATGACACTATGGTTGCATGGCAAGAAGGAGAGATTAGGAATAACAGTATGAAAAATAATGAATACCCGAAATTTGTTCAGTGCTTTTCCCAGGGCTTCTATGGTTTCCATGTCCAAGTGATTGGTAGGTTCATCCAGAATATAGAAGTTTGGACTGCAAAACAAAAAGCAATGTAAATTGCACCTTACAAAAATGACCTAAATTATAATAATATACAAATTAACGAGAACTGTCACTTGCCATTTACTTTTTCCAATGAGGCAAAATAAAAACAACAAAAAACAACCCACTTCTGCTGCACACCTTATTGTGACAACTTTGCTGACCCATGATAACTTGTGTGTGCCCTCAGGGATCTAACACATACGTGCTTTACTTTTTCTCCAGTAGTGCTGTACGGGCACGTGCCATGTGTATGGCACAACAAGGGTTAAAGCAGATCTGTCACCTCCATATCAAAATAGTACTTCATAAAGATAACATTTTCAAGAAATACTCACATTGACTGTGTAAGAAATTCACAAAAATACCAACCCCTGTCAGAATATATACAGAGACCAAGTAGGGTCTACTTTGTCTCAGTATTTTAACTCTGCTTGGCTGAGCTACATTTTGTCAACCATGTCATTTGTCCCAGCCGTCACTATTGATGGCTGTAGGGAATAAAAGCTTTTTCTTTGGAAGATCCCACCATCTCGCAGGTCACTTATTACAGCACTGATGTGGACTCCTATTTAAGTTTTACTTATTAGGTTGTGTGAATATTGAGGACGGGACAGTTCCTCTTAAAATATGATTTGTGTTAGCCAAATTGAGAGCAAAGTCAAAGACTAAATCGTAGTCTCAAATTAAATTTTAATATTACGTTTTTAAAATGCTATGCTATAGATTCAATCTGTCTTGATTAAAATAAAATAATGACATAATCCCATCATATGAAGGTGTTCTACACATGAGATTTAACCTAATGTAAGCTCTGTCAGTCACTATGTTTTAAGAACTACTTGGATTTTAGTAAGTGCTGAAATGTCACACTATACTTCTGCATCTAGCTACTTTTTTCATAGACAACTTATTTTAAAAAAATGTAAATGACAATGGGAAAGTGGAAGCAATCACATGTAAAAACAAAATAAATCCTACCATGGCATTGTCATCTGGGCAAAAGCAACACGACTCTTCTGCCCTCCTGATAGACTTGCCACTGACCGTACTGCTAATTCTCCAGAGATGCCATAACTGCCCAGCTGGTGGCGATATTCTTCTTCAGTTTTCCCTAAGCATGAAAAAAAGCTATTAAATGCAGGGCTTATGCAACCGATAGAAAATTAATAGAGTGAATAGTTAATGAGCAACAAATGGCATTAGAGAATTTTATAGATCATGCCTTTTTTCACCCACAATCATACCATCCAAAATCATTGCACAACATACCTCCTGGCAAGAAACACAAACATCAGGGAAATCCTTGCAGAATTACTCTTGATGTTAAACCAAGCTCCACTTTTCATTCTCTCTCACACAAAAGTGAAAGGGAAGCTTCTTTAGCTCTTATACGGTCTCCCTTTTCCCTGTGTGATTATCACCTGTTGCTCTCTCCGCCATCACACAAGCTCCTCAAAATTCCAATATATCTATCTATATATATATACACACACACACACACACACACACACTCTCTTTTATGTGTTTGTCAAACTGTAATGTTTTTTGTTACACCCTTAAATATAACCTTTTCTTATACCATTTAAAGGGGAGTCATCACTTCACTGGAAATAACACCATCAAATAAAACACCAATAACGTGCGTTCACCTTTTATTAATGTGAGGCTTCATTTTCTTTTAAAATGTATATTAAAGATTTAACGTTTGACATTACAATTTCAAGAGTGATATGGACTTTTACATTTAAATTCAGTTTTTCATACTGTTAAATTCAGAGAATAAGTAAACATATTATTGTACATCCTGACATTTAGGAGTTCCCCTTACTATAAAACACTTTTTTTTGGTGGTAATTTAGAGGGAGGGACTTAATGTGTGTGCACATACACAACGCACACTGGACAGACAGTGATTCATTCATTTGAAATAAGATAAACGGGTAGAGTATATCTGCAATAAGTACCAGGAAAGCGTTTTGCGAGTAGCTCCACTGCACTAATATTCATATCAAGTTGGTCCACATGATGCTGACTGAAGTAACCAATCTTCAGATTCCTGCAGAAATTGTGTGGGTAATAAAATTAAAAAAATAAATGCAAGGGGAAAAATTAAACCACAACATGAAAAATAATGGTTTCTGATGATTCTGTTAATTTCCATGTTGATAGTTACACTTTTCCATCTGTGATACTTTTTAGAAGTCTCCCCAAAGAATGTAATATGCAAAAATGCCCACCTATGTCCTTGTCGAATCCCCTGTACCGGAGACAGCTCTCCCATCAACAGCTTCAACATTGTGGACTTTCCAGCTCCATTTTCTCCCACCTATGCAATAAAAGGAAATTTTGCACACCATTTAAATGGGCTCCTAGTGTAGTCAAAATTCATTTAGAGCATACACATGAACACTCACCACACAGATTCTTGAATCCAGGTCTGCAGACACAGAAAGTTTCTTGAAGATTGGCTGATCTGAAGAATACCAGAAATCAACTTCATCCAACTGCAGGATGGGAGGAGAGAACTTCTCAAAACCATCAGGGAACCTGAGGAGTAGAATGGGAGTGTGAAAAGAGCAGGGAATCAGGAAGTAGAAATTGAAATCAACATAATTATAAAATAACATGTACATAAAAAAAATAATAAATAAAAAAAAGTGTAATATACAGTTGCATTGTGAGCAATGCATGCATTAAGATTCCCACCTTAAAACCACCTCAGACTCTTTGTCCACTGGCTTCAGTTCCGGTCTACAGAAGAAAACAAGATTCCATTGAAATTAATTGTTCAGATCCTCTTCGATATTATTCAAGATTTTAGAAATACTTACAATTTTTCTAGCAGCTTAAGTTTACTCTGCACTTGAGAGGCTCTGTTTGCATTATACCGGAACCTATCAATGAAAACCTGCAGTAAAGAGATGAATGACATGACTAGTCTGTACCAAGAAGTGATATTCATAAAATCAATAAAACACACTGATGAATTACCAGTCTACAGCAAATAAGGCCTCGTTGCACTTTTGCAGTTACAGTAGATTCCCAAAAATGACAAATTATTTTATTTCAGAATCACCTGAATGTGTTCACGGTATTGCTGCTGTGCCTCAAATTCACGTTGCTGGTTCTTCAAACGTTCTTCTTTTGTTTTCAAAAAGCTCTCAAAGTTGCCCCGGTATCCTTCAAGTCGTTGGCTGTGCAGATGTACAATATCTGTGGCCACTGCATTCAGGAAGTTTCGGTCGTGAGAGACAACAAGGATGGTTGAAGGCCAGGTCTATGAAAGCAAGATACCAGTGATAGAATTTTTTTTACAAAAAAGCAATTGCAGTGTAAAAGCTACAAATCCTCAGACAAAGAGACAGATGGGGTATGGGTTAACAGTGAATGTGTTGTGTGGAAGCATTTTAAATGAGTTTTCAGACAGTGAGATGGAAGTATAGAAATTGTACATTGTTGTGAAAAGCAGATTATGAGTTCAAGGTTTGCAAAGAATGTGGGGGACAACATGAAATGCCAAAGAACTGAGACTGACCTGCAAATAATCCTCCAACCATACAATGGCTCGGACATCCAACATGTTCGTGGGTTCTGTGACACAAGAGATAAATGTTAAGCAAGAAAACAGAGGGGAGAAAAAGAATGTATGAATATGCAAGGTTTTTGTGTTTTTTTTGAACACTCACCATCAAGCAACAGAAGATCTGGCCTGACATATAGGAGGAGAAGAATAGAGATGGTCTTTAAATTTACCATTCAAGCACAAAAAAGTTCTTATTGAAAGGAAAAAAATAATAGAGAGAGAACATATATCTTACCTGCCAAAGAGAGCCCGAGCAAGTGCCAATCTCATTCGCCAACCTCCAGAGAATTCCCTGAAAGAATGGAATATCTTAGAAAAGCTCTCAAAATAAAAATCCTCCCCAAAAATGCATAAACATACACATTAACAACAATTGTCAACACCCAAACTCATCAGATCAATTGTATACTTTCAGCTTCTTCAGCCACTTACTTGGTCAATTGCTGTTGCATTGTGTGCCTGAACCCCAACCCAGCCAGAATCACAGAAGCTCTGTGAGATGAAAACAATAAAAGGAAAAGTAAGAGCTATACAAGTTACAAACTGTTCAAAAGGATTTTGGACCAGTTCAAGCAATGCAGGAGTTACACAGTACCTTGCTGGGGCCTTGTCAGCTTCTATCTCTTCCAATTTGCTGTATATCTCAGATAACCGTGTGCTCTCCGAACCATCACCCCTGGGGACACATTTTAAGTAATTCATGGGTCAGGAATGCAATGTAAGTGAAAATAAAATCCATTAAAGAATAAGTGTCATCACGATTTGTTATTTAAAAATAAAAAATGACATGTATTATACCCTTTGTGCACATTATTTTGTCAAATAATAAATTTTTAAAATGCAGTCAGGAGCAGTTTCATGCCTTCAAATTATGCATATTCTGAGCAGATAAATTGTGCTAAGATTACGGTTTTATAAAATGTAAATTTACATGCATTTGGTTACAAAATAATACACAAGGCTGTATTACATATCATTTTTTATTTTCAGTAATAAACAATGTCAGTTGTCAAAAAAAAAAAAAAAGAATACACACTATGTATCCAATCTGTCTCATGCGACTGATTCTAAGGATTAATCAAAAACATCAGTGAGAAAAGCAATTTACAACACATAGGTGATCTTATCTCTAAAATGATTGTCATTTATTGTAATGATCTGTCCCTATTTTAAGGTCACTTACTTTCCAGCACTGATTCTAGAATTTAGCATCTTTTCTTCATGCAGAAGGCTCTCACGCAGTGTGTCACATTCCAGAACGCTCTGGAGTGCAGGAGTGTCATCACCAGCCACTTCCTGCTCCACGTGCAGAATGCTGATGTGTGAAGGAACACGGAGGTTGCGGCTAGCAAGCATCTTTAATAGGGTGGTTTTACCCAGCCCATTCCGACCCACCAAACCATAGCGACGTCCAGCCGCCAAATGCAACTCTGCCCCTGTCAGCAAGACCCTGGTACAAGAAATGGTAATTTTAGTTTAGATAATGAAGAAAACTTAACATGCCTTTATAGAAATTGGCATGGATTACTCGGAATGACTAATTACAGATCTAGCAAGCATATACCTTACCTGAAGAAAAAAAGGAAAAACACTCAGCACTTGTTAAACTGATGCAGCTAAAGAGCGAGATGCATCAGCTCATCTTTAGTTCATGAATGTAAAATGTACTACGGTAATTTAGAATACATTTGTGAATTTAAGAAAAAACAGTCACAAGAGTGATTTTGGATCCAATAATAACCAATTTCAACATGAGATCAGTCAAAATGACAGCACTGGCAGAGGAAAGGGAAATTTCATGAAAAAAGAAAAAAAAAGAAAAAAAACATTAAATGAAAACCGGGAAAAAAGTTACACAAACAATGTAATATGAGAATTTCACGTATCTGATCAATAATGGAAATAAGAGTTGGTATGATTGGGTGGCAACCGCTCTCTATCAAAGTTTTTATCACTTAAATAAATATCTGACCAATAAAACGGTCACCTTAGATTGCCACAGTTGTAATTTTGCCAAAGTTAAAGTAAATAAATTATTTCCCACTAAACTTTCCCAACCTCCTAAAGGGATTCTATAGTGCCAGGAAAACAAACCTGTTTTTCTTGGACTATAGGTTTTTAAGGAGCCCCCCCTCCCGCAGGGCTGAAATAGATAAAACCTCTTCAGTCACTTAGCTGAATCCAGCAACGATGTCCCTAGGCGATGGGTCAGGCCCCGCCCACGCTGGTTGACGTTGGCAGGGTGACCTAATGCTTTCCTATGGGGAAAATATGACGCTGCAGAGCGTGAGGACGCCCAGCGTCAGATAACGGACCAAAGGCCCGCTTGGATTCCAGAAGCACCCCCAGCCTGTCTGGTAGACAGCCACTAAGGGCAGACTTAGAGCTGCAATGTAAACATTGCAGTTCTCTGGAACTGCAATCTTTTACATTGCAGCACTAAGTGCAGTAGGGACACAGCACCCAGACCACTTCAATTAGCAAATACATTGTCTGTCATTTAAAAAAAAAAAAATTATAAAAAGTTTAATAGCAAACATATTTTACGATCGGTGACTTTAAACCCAGTACTGAACGAAACAGCACACAATTTAAAAGAAACTGAAAACGTTTACTGTTAAAGGGACACTCCAGACCCCTAAGGCAATTCCAGCTTGCTGAAGCTTAGGAGGTAATTTAAGAACATCTCCTAGTCATCAAAGCTGACAGCCAGGAAGGCATCCTGATTCACTCCACTTAAACAACTGTTCAAGCAGAAGTGGAAGCTTCCATCAGTATGCATTAGTCCAATGCATTCTATTGAGCATTTGCCACATCTACTTGGTGCATTTGCCAAACAAGCAACAGTTTAAACAGTTTACAGAAAGGAAAGCAACTATCATCACTAATATAGTCTCAAGGGGGCATAGCAGCAGCAAGAGAGGACTTGCTGTTGAAGGTAAATTAAACTAGACTATTAAAAAATATATATATTTTCTCCCCTATGCTGATCTGTGATCCATATGGCAAGAAAAAGTACTTATTAATGTATGGAAAAATATATACATATATATTATACATATATTTTGCAGTACACCAAGTAGGCTTTTTTTTTTTGTTTTTTTTCAAATAATTTCAAAGTCTGATATCCACCAATTAATGGGAATGGCAGTTCGTTAACTGAAGTTTAGTAATCAGTGGCAAAAAATTGCTGCCTCTTTAATCTGACTCCCAGCAGACCAGCCTTTTCTTCATGTTCTACTGATAACCCGTAGCCTGTCAATTTAGATCTAATTTCATTGACTTTTCCTGTTTTCTCTTTTGCAAACCCAGTCTTATTCAAAAATTCATTATTTCCACATAAACAATTTAAATAAATTAAGGAAGTTTGTCACGTCCTTACACATACACATTATAGATTTCACATTTGTTGTTCAATTCTTCCTAGTTTTGAACCCTAACCTGCCTTTTCTTAAAAAAATAAAAATACCAAACCTGACAGAAATCAAAACTCTTTCATAATGCACACACAGTCATGGCTTTTCAATAAACTCCAAACTCTATTCGACTGAAATATGAATTGAAACATGAAGGCTAAATAACTGAGTGGGAGAATTTCTCATAATCCGCTATTTTAGCCTCAATTTTACAAATTAGATTTCAGTTGGATGCAGTTTGGAATTTAGTGAAGAACACGGAGTAAGCATGACTGCCTTTTTCACGCTCACATTTTCTGTGCTCTTTTGCATATCACAGCCATCACTCACTTACCACTGTAAACCCCTTTACTCATAGCAAACCGATTACTCACAAACTCTTGCAGTCATTCTAAATCTATATTCTGGGATATCGGATTACAAATTTGATTAAGAGACACCAACTGGAAAACAAAAATGCAAACTTTTATAGGCTTCCTGAAAAACATTGGATCTTGCAACATTGACTACAGCACAATTCCTTTAAGCCACTCAACGTAATAAAAACAAATATCAGTTTTGTTCTTTTTGAATGCAGTTTTTCTATTTGGAGATGTGCAAACAATCTCAAAATGATTAAATGTATGGGTGTCTGCATGCATATGAAAAATTAAAAAATTGATAACTGCTTTATTTTATCCTGATGAGTTAGTCCCACATATCATGACATTATAAATTCAATTTATGAAATGCCAACATTTTAACAGAACAGAAAATAGCCAAGGGAAACATTTATTTAGGGTACTAGAAAGCTGGACATGGCAACCTAAGGCACAGTGTAGTGCATATTGATCAAATTAGTTGAAAAGTAGTGTAGTAGGGGGCGGGGCCTGGCAGCCAAGATGGCAGGATGTGTTTCAGCTCAGCTCCAGTAAAACAGGGCTGAAAATCAGCTAAACTGACCTTCTAACGCACAGAAAATGACCTGGCAAGGGCAAGATTCTGCCACCAAGCAGCACGGGACTGTAAGCACTCATGAAGCCAGTTGCCCCAACACAGTATCCAGCAGTGAGGCATAACACTGATGGCGACTTGCAGGCCGGGGGAGGCGGCCGATCCCCTGACCTAAGGCGCTCAGCAACACCTGGAGACTCCGGAGCCTCGTCACCCCCCCCCCGGACAGGAGGGGGTTATCCCGGTCCCCACTGGGGAAAGTCACCCCCGGCAAACAAGAGATCTCCCACACCCAAGGACCGCATGGCGAGCACAAGATGGCCGCCGAACCGCAGCCTCGACAAACCACAGAGGGAGCGGACATTCAGTCTTGGCGGGAAGACTTTGAAGCCCGGTTTGAACGCATATGCCGAGCATTCTGGCACCGCATCGAAAGCCGACACCCACACGGGCAGCTGACCCAGAGAAAAGATGCACCGGACCGCGAACGTGCAACCGGCACTGGGCATGGAGCTCGTCTGGCGGCACAGCCAACAAGCCGTCCAAGCACTCGGGGAATCCCCCGACGGGTCAAGCGTCCGCAGACATGTGACCCAGCCAAACCAAAACGGAAAGCTACCAGATAAGCGGCAAGGAACCCACGGGAGACCTGGGCCTGGGAGAACGGGAACCCCCGGCGCAGCTCACCCACCATGAGCCACATGCAAGGAGCCTGGTTCAACACACAGCCCTTCCTGGGGATGAATAGCACTACCTCACTATGCAGCCTACCAAGCTCCGATGGCCCATACGTGGTATCGGATAAACGGACAGCACGTAATACACACCAGCTCTCTTACAGAGACATTAAACTCACTGCTCCTTTAGAGCTTTCATGGTGCAATTAGTACCCAGTGGTCATATAGCAGACTCAACGTTAACTACAGCTTAATACCTTTGCTAACCAATGTAAGATTATTCATAGCATCATCATGAGCCAAGTTATTAGTTTATCTTTCCTGTTCATCCTAATGCTTAAATGATGTAAACCAGCTACAGAATAGATTTACAACAGGCACGCAGAGCCACGACAGCTTCTGCATGCTTTTTATATATAACTATGTTCAAAAAAAAGGGATGAGTCGGTATTTAATAGCAGTTCAGTATCTTACATTTCTACATATTGAAGTAGTTTAGGCAATTATAACTGGTCAAGCTCCCCCACTAGGATGCATGTAGTAAAGATACCACAACGTATTTGCAGTTTATCTGACTGTCTATAGCCATGCTGTGAATTAAAGGACCACTCAGACCACTTCAGCTTAATGAAGTGGTCTGGGTGCCAGGTCCAACTAGGGTTAACCCATTTTTTTTTTATAAACATAGCAGTTTCAGAAAAACTGCTATGTTTATAAATGGGTTAATCCAGCCCTCAAATCCTCTAGTGGCTGTGGCTGTCTCATTGACAGCCGCTAGAGGCGCTTGCGTGATTCTCACTGTGAAAAAAATCACAGTGAGAACATGCAAGCGTCCATAGGAAAGCATTGTACAGTGCCAGGAAAACAGACACTGCAGGTCCCCTCTACCTCCCACTCCCCACTCCCCAATCCCCGGTTGCTAAAGGGGTGAAAACCCCTTCAGTCACTTACCTGAGACCCCCTGCCGATGTCCCTCAGCGGTGGTTTCAGGTCGCCGCCGCTTCACCCCTTCCTAACGTCAGCCGGTGGGCGAGACTGATCCCGCCCGCCGGGAGGCCTAATGCGAATGCGCGGCAATGCCGCGCACACGCATTAGAGCTCTCCATAGGAACGCATTTAAAATGCTTTTCAATGCTTTCCTATGGGGAATTGAGCGACGCTGGAAGTCCTTACATAGCGTGAGGACGTCCAGCGACACTCTAGCACAGAAAACCTGTGCTATAGACACGGAAGTGCCCTTTAGAGGCTGTCTAGTAGACAGCCACTAGAGGAGGAGTTAACCATGCAAGGTAATTATTGCAGTTTATAAAAAACTGCAATAATTACACTTGCAGGGTTAAGGGTAGTGGGAGTTGGCACCCAGACCACTTCAATGGGCAGAAGTGGTCTGGGTGCCTGGAGTGTCCCTTTAATGATTAATAAAGCAAAGGAACTAAGAGTAAACAGAAAAGCATATGAAAGGCATGGAAGGCATAAGGTAACAGGACACAGATCTCTAGCTAATGGTTAGCGGTTTATAACTTTTGCTCTCTTGGCAGAGGCTTCTGTAGCAGTCCCTCTTTAGGCTTAAACTACGCCTGTTCTTGGTGTGCTGTCCGTGCCATCCGTCAAGTCCTCCTTGCCTGCACGAGAATCTCTCCAGCCCCAAGCCTTCTCGAGGGCCGGAATCAGTGTACCACAGACCTGGTTTCTATAATAGGCCAATTCTATTCCCAGCAGGAAGTGGGCAGAGGATTGAGATGTCTCCCGCCGCGTGTTGCGGGCAATCTTCCGACCTTGTGGTTGATGCAGGGTAAGTTTGCCCCTTGTGGCTCTAAGCTTGGGAAGGCGAGTGGGTGTCTTCGCTGGGTCTCCGCCTTGAGTTGATCCCCTCACTGGCAGTCGCTGGGGTCTCCTTTCTCCCTTGCTTTTGCTAGCCTCAGTGGCTTGGTAGTGGCGGGTAGCTGCGTTCAGTTGCTGGAGCGTGGCTGCCGCCATCTTGCGGGATTGGGGGTTCCTGCACAGCGATCTCTTCAGAGTGGCAAGTGCCTGTGCTGGTCATTCTTGTGAATTCCAAGGGGACCGGGATGACCCCCACCGGTCCGGGGGGGAGGAGGGGGTAAGAGTGCTGCGGAGTCAGGCCCTGGGTTTGAGCGCGGGTGGATCGGCCGCATCCCCCTCAGCCTCGTCCCGGGTAGGCAGCAGCAAGGCTCCTGGGCTCTCCATGTGAGTAAGTGCTTGAATAAGTTAGCGATTAGCTAGCCCGGGGTCCGCTGACCTTCAGTTTGCGGTATGATGGACGTGGAAGCCCCAAAATCGGGTATAATACCCTAAATACTGGCTTTAGTGCAGGAGCTCTGGCTTCCCACGTCTGGCCGGCTTGGAGGTCAGGCTCCGCCCCCCCGATATGATTCAACTTTAGTGTAACAACTTTATGCAGCAAAAATAGGGGCATGTATTGTAAACAATGATATTGTGTTTGTAAAAAAAAACAAAAAAACACTGCATAGCACATACTGGACTGAACAGTCTGAAAATAAAAGTAAAATACAATTTTCTTTCTTCAAATAGTTATAAAAAATAATCTAACAACTGTATATTGGTAACAACATGTCAGTCTCCTATCTTACAACCAAAGCTGTTTCAAGCTTACTTCTGTATCTGGCTAGCCAGATACAGAAGTAAGCTAAACCTAGTCTCCAAGTAGAATCAATGACACACAGTATCACTGTAGGTCTGTCTCCCTCAGCAGCTGCAGTCACTATGTCTGGAAAAATCCAGGATTGACGTATTGACTGTTTGCTGTTCCTCTTTTTTTTAACTCTATTAGTTAATAACTTGATATGATAATAAAATAAATGTTTAGTGGCTATTCCATAGACATCAATCATCTTTTGTTTTTGATATCTCTGGATTGGATAGGAGATCCAGCTCACACAGAGTAGAACACTTGTACATCACAGGAAACGAAGCTGCTTATTTATCACCCCCAAAAAACTAAACAATCTTCTACATTGCATTTTACTTTATTTTTCTGGTGCCAGGAATGGCACTCTGAATAAAAAAAAAACCAACCAAGCAGGTATGTTCTTGTGCAACTCAGTTCCCCCAAGATTCTGACATGTGGCGGCTCAGAAATCTTCAAGTTTATTATACATATTATTATTTAAAGAAACAGGTAATACTATTTATACAATAGTCATGCCTAAAATATGAAGGTGCTGTTATATATAGCCATTTTCAAAATAGGTTACAAAAGCGATTAACTAATGTGTGTAAAATGGTATTTACCTCTCTCCAAATGACACATCAAAGTTCTCTATTCGAATGTCATAGGACTTGTTCTTGCCGCTATTCTCTATACGATTTTCTTTCTTACTAGCAGCTTGGCTGGCTGAGGCCTCCTCCATTACACTGCAATCATAATATGTGAATAGCTTATTTTAGACATCAGAAAAGCTTAACGTAAGCACCATTTTATTCGCTTTAAAAATACTTACACCTGCCCGGCTGGTTTACTTGAGTCTCGTTCATTTCGCTTTCCTTGTTTAGCCTTCAGTTTGGCTTCTGCTTTCTCCAGCTTCTTAACATTAACGGTCTAAAAAAAACAATATATTCATTGGATGTGTTATTTATTTTTACACTTGGGATCCTTGTATTAGCACGTCCAAGCAAAACATGCACCCTCTCCCCCGCAAATAAAATAAATAAATCTGTTAGCATTAGAGACCTGTACTCTGACGAAATCCAGCTATTAATTTGACTGGCTAATAATATCTCTTGTTTGTAACTTACACCTATGTCAATGGAGGACCAAAGAGACCCTAGCCCAAGTTATATATATATATATATATATATATATATATATATATATATATATATATATATATATATATATATATATATATATATATATATATATATAAAACTTTTAGAAAAGAGTCAGCACTCAAGGACTTTCAATGTGCTAAAAAAATGCAAAAAAACCTTTTAATCCAGTTGTTCAAAGAGGTCAACGTTTCAGTCCATCGTCGTGGACTTTCATCAGGACATAAATGACAAGACATAACATTCAGTTTAAATAAGAAAAAACTAACTTACCAAGCCGTTTCCACCTGTGTGCCGGCGTGGTCTGTTCCTCAGTGCGCATGCGTGTCACTCCGCTCATCTACTTCCGGTGTCAGAGTGCAGCCTACCCATCACCCTAGCAACCTGTAAACAGATCGCTAAAGACAGCGATCCGTGATAACATATTAAAAGTGCCCAGTGCTGTGATATCATCTTAGTGTTCATATTAAACTGGCAACTAACATAGCCAGTTTAACTGTTCGTATTCTCATATTCTCATTAATACAGTGAGGACCAATTAATCTATTTGTGTAAGTGCATATCATCATGCAGACTAGGAAATTGTGATGAAGAGAGGTAAAAGATAGGGATTAATTTACCTCATATACAGAAAGTGCAAGTGCTCAAAATGAAAGTGCTGACAGTAACGATTTGTTAAAGTGACAGGTGCAAATATATACATTCTATCAAATGATTGAGTAAGTGAACACACTTAATTGCTATGGGGTTACAGTGTTATATGATATAAAATCACTACCTAAACATTAAATATAATAACATATATTCTACTGTTTAACAGCACTATTCCCAAGTGTCAAAATTTAGAGACAAAATATTATTCATATATAATTATGTCCCTATTCAATTATGGATAAATGCTAAGGAGTGGGAAAAACCATCCTCCTTTGAAAATTTTTTTAGTGAAACACAAATCACAAAAAAAATTTCTTTTATGCCTATATCTTAATCCATGTTAGATACACTGGGAATATGTGCTGCAAACATGTTTATAAACAAAAAATTAATAAAATCAATATGAAAATTCATCCAACCACTTAAATAAACGATGTGAATGTCAATTTTTCATTAAGGCCCATAGGGGCCATAGTATTTAATTCACGAATCCAAAATGCCATTGACCACATTCCAATATCTAGGAGAGGAGGAGATCGCTCTAAGGCATTGTTGCAGAGAGAGACATTTTGGATTCGTGAATTAAATACTATGGCCCCTATGGGCCTTAATGAAAAATTGACATTCACATCGTTTATTTAAGTGGTTGGATGAATTTTCATATTGATTTTATTAATATTCTGTTTATAAACATGTTTGCAGCACATATTCCCAGTGTATCTAACATGGATTAAGATATAGGCATAAAAGAAATTTTTTTTGTGATTTGTGTTTCACTAAAAAAATTTTCAAAGGAGGATGGTTTTTCCCACTCCTTAGCATTTATCCATAATTGAATAGGGACATAATTATATATGAATAATATTTTGTCTCTAAATTTTGACACTTGGGAATAGTGCTGTTAAACAGTAGAATATATGTTATTATATTTGATGTTTAGGTAGTGATTTTATATCATATAACACTGTAACCCCATAGCAATTAAGTGTGTTCACTTACTCAATCATTTGATAGAATGTATATATTTGCACCTGTCACTTTAACAAATCGTTACTGTCAGCACTTTCATTTTGAGCACTTGCACTTTCTGTATATGAGGTAAATTAATCCCTATCTTTTACCTCTCTTCATCACAATTTCCTAGTCTGCATGATGATATGCACTTACACAAATAGATTAATTGGTCCTCACTGTATTAATGAGAATATGAGAATACGAACAGTTAAACTGGCTATGTTAGTTGCCAGTTTAATATGAACACTAAGATGATATCACAGCACTGGGCACTTTTAATATGTTATCACGGATCGCTGTCTTTAGCGATCTGTTTACAGGTTGCTAGGGTGATGGGTAGGCTGCACTCTGACACCGGAAGTAGATGAGCGGAGTGACACGCATGCGCACTGGGGAACAGACCACGCCGGCACACAGGTGGAAACGGCTTGGTAAGTTAGTTTTTTCTTATTTAAACTGAATGTTATGTTTTGTCATTTATGTCCTGATGAAAGTCCACGACGATGGACTGAAACGTTGACCTCTTTGAACAACTGGATTAAAAGGTTTTTTTGCATTTTTTTAGCACATTGAAAGTCCTTGAGTGCTGACTCTTTTCTAAAAGTTATACATTTGTGCAGCCGAGCACCGGGCAATAAATAAGGAGAGCTGGAGTGCAACTCCTATTATTCTTTGTATATATATATATATATAGAAAAAAAAGTGCATCTTCTTTGGATTCTATGGTTTTACATATCAGGACATAATTACTCACTTCACACTCAAACTCCATGAAGATCTGCATTTTACATCCTGCAGAAACACCTACCACTCTCAGGTACTGACTGAATCTTGGAAGATACTCCACCTCATCTATTCTTGGATTGCTACAATATTATCATGTGTTCCTATATAAGTATTACCATTTATACCTGTTTGCCACTGTAATTTTCTGTGCATGCAGTTTGTATTATTGTCATTCATGTACACAGTTATTAATATTTTGGGTGTTTGAGATTCTCACTCAATTACCTCGTCATTCCCTTTACAATTTACCAAAAGCTGCTTCTCTCTGTTAACTCTTTTAGCCATCACCTCCAAATTTCCCCTGCTACCTTTTGTCTCAAATCCCCACTGTTGCCTTCAGATTGTAAGCTCACGGGCAATCTAGCTAAGCACTCTGTATAAAAGAGCTCCAATTGCTAGATATCAGCTTACGGCAAGGCCCTCTCTACCTCTTGTATTTGTCTGTGTATATTGTATGTTCTCCACTAATTGTACAGTGCTGCAGAATCTGTTGGCGCTATATAAATACCAGTAATAAATAAATAAAATAAATTAAAATCACCTGCTCCTTAGCGGGTCTTAAAAAATACTTAAATACAACCTCAGATGAACAACAACACAACATATTACAGCATCATGTTTTTTTTTAAAAGAAAAATAAAGCCACAATGGAGAAGCCACACGTGAAAAACTAAGTACACTTCATCATTTAATAGCTTGTAAAACCACCATTAGCAGAAATAACTTAAAGTAATCATTTTCTGTCTGAATTTATCAGTCTTTCACATCGTTGTAATGAAGAGTGGGACAAAATTCCTCCACAATGTTGCTTCAGTTCATTAAGTTTTGCTGGCATATGTTTATGCACAGCTCTCTAAAAGGTCCCACCACAACATTTCAATCTGGTTGAGGTCTGGACTTTGATTGGGCCATTTTAACACCTTAATTCTTTTCTTTTTAAGGTATTTTGTTGTAGATTTGCTGATGTGTTCGGCATCATTGTCTTGTTGCATGACCCAATTTCAGCCAAGTTTTAGCTGGCAGACAGATGGCCTCAGATTTGACTCTTGAAAACATTGGTATACAGAAGAGTTCAAGGTCAACTCAATGACTGCAAGATTCCCAAGTCTTGTGGCTGCAAAACAAGCCAAAAACATCACCCCTCTGCCAACGTGCTTGACAGATGGTATGAGGTGTTTGCACTAATATGCGATATCTGGTTTTGGCCAAATGTGGCACTCCACTTTGGTCTCGTCTGTCCAAAGGAAATTGTTCCAGAAGTCCGAAGTCGTGCTTCCATGATAATCTTAGCGAGAAGATGCTATCTCCTGGCAACGCTTTCAAACAAACCATACTTGTTAAAGTCTTTTTCTAATTATACCATCATGTACATTTAACATGATAACTGAAGCCTGCAGAGTCCGAGATGTAACTTTTTTTGCAGTTTCTCTGAGCATTGCACGGTTTGACTGAGTTTGCTGGGACGTGCACTCATAGGAAGATTGCAACTGTCTTGAATGTTTTCTGCTTTTGAATAATATCACTGTAGAAGGATGTACTTGAAATGATTTGGAAATGGCCTTATAACTCTTCCCAGTTCAATGGGCAGCAACAATTGCTCAGCTTTTATAGAGGATGTCACACTTGATGATGATGATAAATTAATCAAGGGCATTTGATTAGCAGCACCTGTCTGCTACTTAACCTCTTAGTTCCTATGGAAGCAGTAAGTTGTACTTTGTTTTTCAAACATGGCTTCTCCAGTTTGGCTTTGTTTTTGTTACATAAATTATGACACGGTGTAATAGGTCATGTGTTGTTCATCTGAGGTTGTATTGACGTATTTTAACCCCTTAAGGACCAAACTTCTGGAATAAAAGGGAATCATGACATGTCACGTGTCCTTAAGGGGTTAAAGGGATTCTATAGTGCCAGGAAAACAAACCTGTTTTCCTGGCACTGTAGAATTCAGCACCGATGGATCTGCCCACGCTCCTACCGTGCCGACGTGAGCTGGCGGGGAGAGACCTAATGCGCAGCAATGGCCTAGCTCGCATTAGGGTTTCCCCATAGGAATTGAATAATGCTTTCCTATGGGGAAAAATCTGGCGTTGGAGGTACTCATGCGACGTTCAGTGTCAGATAACAGACCAAAGATTCGTTTAAATTCCGGAAGTCCCTCTAGTGGCTGTCTGGTAGACAGCCACTAGAGGAGAAGTTAACAATGCAAGGTAATTATTGCAGTTTCTCAGAAACTGAATTAATTACAATTGTCGGGTTAAGGGACATTGTAGGCACCCACACCACTCTAGCTCACTGAAGATTATATTTTTGCGCACGGTATGTAAAACCATAAAATTCAAAATTTTTCCATGAGATAGATATATATATATATATATATATATATATATGCACACACACACAAATTGATATAGGCTAGCACTCACGGTCTTGTAGTTAAAAACATGTTTTGTCCTGATGAAAGCTCCATGTGAGAGCTGAAACGTTGACTTTTTAAATGGATTGAATAAAAGTTAAATTTTATTTAATAATCTCTATAAAGTCTTTGGAGTGCGGTCATTTCTGCTATGTCTACATGATCCTTGCCAGACCAGCACCGGGCACCACAGGATTACACCAGGAGTGCAAGCCCTCGCTATATATATATATAAAAATAATCGGGTAGTGTGGCTGCACTCACGGATTTTCAATAAAAATTAACTTTTATTCCAGATACTTTTAAAACAGATCAACGTTTCAGTCCATCTTGTGGACCGATTATATGGATACTCAAGCCCTGGTAATGCACCAGGTTTGGCAAGTTTAAAGCCTGTGTGCTAAGGTACAGTTTAATATTTTTTTTATATATATATATATATATATATATATATATATATATATACACACACACACACACACACAGTGTTTTTCTTACTAATGAACTTGAATAATGAACTTTGCCAGCACTATGTCACATATTTGACTTGGATTTCTCATGCTTTCTACTATTATGTACTATACACCATTGTCATGAAGGCTAGGAGGGTCTTCGACACCAGCAGCATTCCCTGATGTTCTGAAGAAAGTGTGTGCCGATATGTTACAGAAACACGTACCAGCAATTAAGCACTCAGGTGATGCTTCACCCACAGGAAGGGATTGTCCCCGTAATTAGGCTGCACCTATAAAACCCCAAAGCGCATCCACAGCAATGTTCTATTATTCTGACTTGCTAGCTACAGATATTCAGTGCTGTTTTGCTTAAGACACACTCCTGAGTTAGTGCCCCAGCTTCCTGCCCTGTTCCCTTCAATCTTGGATTTTATTGCTTTTTGAGCTTGGAACTGTTTTTCCGTTAATGCTACCTTGCAGCCAGCCCTGACCTACCATCTACAATGACTGCCTAGCCTCTTTCTGGAAACCTCAAATTCTGTCCATCTTTATTCCCGATTCACTATTAAAGATCCATGTGCCATAACTGACCTCTATGACCCATTCCCATTCTTATGTCATGTAAGAAGTACTGCTCGCAAGGGTGTGCTGTCCACCTGCAAACAGGTTCTGGCTCATCCCAGACCCCGACTCCTGACAATCATGTTTTACTGCTCATTTTCTGTACATTATAACTTCTGCTTTAGCATAGCTGTTTAGACTAGAAGGAGCATGGTTGACTGATAGAACAAGGTAAGTGTTAAATCAGTTATAAGCGGTTTGACGGACTATCATGGGACGATGCCAGAGGATTCACACTATGTGCTGTAGTGATGATGGTGCTTATATTGTCCTTTAAAGATTGATTACACTTAATTATTTTACAATTACATTTTCTTATAACCCTACAACAATGACAAGTCTTGGTCCTGTATAGAAAGAGAGCCCTGTAGTAAAATATACATATACCACTCTAGTCCTACGTAATCCAAAAAAAAAGTATCTAGCTCAGTTACTTGGAGTGACAACATCTTCTGCCTACAGAGTGGTTAAATTATCCTGTATTTATGAAGAAGAAACATTATCTCACCGAGGATTGCCCTTTCTTCATCAACAACACATTAAGGATTTGAGGATCAACATCTAAAATGAATAGATAGTAAAATAAGTAAACAAAAATCAAGAGTGTTGACCCAAACAGAGTCTGGGGGAAACAGGATAAGAATAAATCACAAAGCAAATATCCATGTGCAGCCATCATAAAAACGCAAGACAGTAGCTAACCAATAAGATGAAAGGTGCAACAGGAAGAGGCAGGGTTAAATACATGTTTAGGGGTCTATTAAAGATACTGTAGAGAACAGTATTTGGAAGGATGGGTTTGTATAATCTTACCATATTGGTCAGTGATCTGGTTCAGCTGGATAGGGGCCTGGAGCAGTACTTGATTCTGTTTGGGGACATGATTATTTTCCCTGACAAAAGCACAAGAAGAATTACAGTTAAGAGGTTTATTTTGGATTACATAAATTACACAGTTTTTTTTCAGAAACTGGATATAAATCAATTATTACTGACAAACTTTGATTAAAATATGTCAATTAGCTATCATGTTACATTTGCATATGTTTCTTCTAATAACACGCATGTCATATTAATCTCAGCAATCTAAAGCGTACTCTAAATTGTAAACGCTCATATCGAACCTTCTGTAAAACAATTTCTGGAAATCATTGCGCTAGTCCTTTTTTATTAAGTGCTTACTTCTCATCTCTTGCAACCGTTAAATAACTTCTCAGCTGTCATACCTCTCACATTCTACTTGTATGTCTATCCCTTTCCATCCCCTCCCAGTACATTACATTCTGCTCCTCACAGTCTGAACATTAACACTTACAAGCGCATTGTTCTATACATCCTCTGACAGATGTTTCTGATGTCCTCATCGTCCTTGGTATCTCCAGAAACATCCTGCAGAAGAGCTCCGACTGCTTCAAACAAGTCATGCGCAGATTCAAAGTCAGCTTGCCCACTGTCAAGAACATCTGATTGGTAAAAGAGTGTGGGGGTTATAATAGGGCTCTGTGGACATGTTGCAACATTGAATATGTTTTATAGAAAAATACAAAAATATACATCAAACCTTTGTTACATTTTGTCCTTAGTGTAAATCGGACTCAAAGTCTATAAATCCTATCAATCCACCAGAACTTTATACTAGTAAGAAAATAAGATTAGCTGATAAATGCAAATTATTGCTACTACATATGACAGAACAACATATAAAACAAATTACAATGAACTTGGAAAAGTGATTCAACGATCATGTTTGGCTCTTCATCAATTGAACATCAGCAGAGACAAACGAATACTTTTTAGTCTCCTTCACTCATCAAGACTCATCAAGGGTTTTAATGGTTATATATTTCACTAGTCCAGTTCTAGTGGATTGGTGTATGATTATTATTATATTTATATAGCGCCAACAAATTCCGTAGCGCTTTACAATGGGTGGACTAACAAATATGTAACTGTAACCAGCCAAGTTTGACACACAGGAACAGAGGGGTTGAGGGCCCTGCTCAATGAGCTTACATGCTAGAGGGAGTGGAGTAGAGTGACACAAAGGGTAAGGGAAGTATTAGGGAAGTAGATTGGTAGATTAAAATATAATAAAAATATCTAAGGTATACAGCATGTACAGTTTTTATAGCTAGGTCGATCATGTTTTCTAGAAAAAGCAAAATGGCTGAGATGTTGGGCAATTCAGGAAATTGCTGCCCTGCAGTCCATGGCATTGATGTGACTAGGGAGGAAATGAATTAATCCCAGAGAGAGGGCGAGCAATGTATCTATTCAGTAAAGGACACTGAATGCTACACGGTGCCTGGGCGCACGTTTCATGCCCGGTACACACAATGAGGGAGTGATGATGTGTCAGGACACTCAGGGTGGACCATTTATGAGTACAGGTCCTGGGTCCTCCTCCTCCTCCTGACAAGTCACGGACAGCTGCCCGACATCTCCTGCAGGCACGGGCTGCGCGGCGTGTCCATGAACCCCATGCTATCAGTGACTCCCACAGTCCATCATGCCACCTGATTATCACCCCAGTTACCCAGCCAGGACACATGGCGGCGGCTCCTGCCCCCCCGATATTACAGCCCCGGGTCCCAGCGCCTTCACAGCCCTGTCTCACCGGTAACGTATTGGAAGAGCTCGGCGTCCAGCTGCGGGAACTCGCTCCTGAGGATCTCGGCTAGGGTCGCCATGTTGGCCGGCCGGCAGCGAGCAGGCGCAAAGGGAGCACTCACGCCGGAAGTGAGGGTGTTGATGGGAATCGTAGTTCTAGAACGCTCGCGAGATGCTGCGCGGGAGGCAGAGTGCCTGAGGAGGGCTGGAGGCAGAGTGCCTGAGTGACTGAGTGTCTGAGGAGGGCTGGAGGCAGAGTGCCTGAGGAGGGCTGGAGGCAGAGTGTCTGAGTGACTGAGGAGGGCTGGAGGCAGAGTGTCTGAGGAGGGCTGGAGGCAGAGTGACTGAGGAGGGCTGGAGGC